TTTTTTTTTTTTTTTTTTTTTTGAGACAGGGTCTCACTACGTAGTTGAGACTGACCTAGAACTCACTATGTAGCCCAGGCTGGTTTTGAACTCACAGAAATCCTCCTGCCTTAGGCTCCCGAGTGCTGGGATTACAGGCGTGCACCAACACGCCTGGCAACAAATACTTATTGAGAGCTTTCGATGTACCAAGCACTGTACAGTTGCTGCAAATATGACTGATTCAATAAGATCAGTCTCCTAGGGAAAATGATAAGCAATCCAAATATATATGGCCTATATCTCTGTCTGTATTGTCCTGAATGCTTTGTTTGCTCACATCTTTCTACAGCTCGTCTGTCTGCTGTTCCTCTGCACATTCCTCAACTGGGTCCTTTGCCCTTCAACTTCCTGTTGGGCCAATTCAATGGGAGGGAAGGAGGCATGGGTTGAGAGCTGTGTTCTTCGGGCTTCTTTTCTGCATAGCACCTTGAACTGGTTATGTCCCTCCAACAAAGGTGGATGTGTCAGGAGGCTCCCTCCACAGTTAATCATTCGTGGTTCCAAGCTCCAACTTCCTCCTTCCCCTCAGTATAGCATTTTATCATGTGGCTTTCCTTTACTATGGACATGGATTTTAAAAATCATTTCTTTTAAAAATCCTATAAAGTTACCCTGTTTGAGCATGCCATCTCTTTCCTGCTTGGACTCTGATACAGGAGGGCCACAAATTCTTCTCAGTGCTAACTCACCTAATTTTTAAAATTTTTGTTTTCAATTTTGGAGTACTAGGGATTGAACTCAAAGCCTTGCACATGTAAGACAAGTGCCTTACTACTGAGCTACAGCCCCAACCCTCAGTTAATTTTTCAAGGCTGATTTTGCCTTTAATAAAAGCATTTTGAAATTCTAAATGAATTCATTTCACTGATTCCCCTGGTTCAAATGTCTATTTAATTTTCAGAAAACTCTACTATTTAAATCAGACTTTCCCTTCAGTAAAACCTTGTTCTTTTTTCTCAGTTGGATACCATTTGCTTAGCTGTATTATAACTTCTACACAAGTGGGATTTTTAATTCATCATATCCAAGGTACCCATAACAACCTTTCTCAGAGTAAATATGTGGTAATAGAACCATAAATATATGATATCTATTGAGGTCAGTAATTCTATAATCTCACTGTTGTATTTCTTTCTAATATGTGTTTGCAAATTGGCATCTGAGAGAGTTGCTTGCATCTATTTCTATTATGTCTGAAACATCTTATATATTTCCATTATTGATTTCCTGAGCAGTCTTCAAAATATAATTAATGACTCTCCCTTATGTATCCATGCCTACATCCATCCATCCGTGTGTTAAACTCTGAATACCAACCATGTATTGGGGATAAACCCAAATAAGACCATGATACCGCCTTCAGGAATAATGTCTAAAATTCATCCTGGTGTGGTTGTGCAAGCCTATAATCCCAGCACTTGGGAGACTGAGGCAGGAGGATCACCACCAATTCAAGGCCAGCTTGGGCTTAAAGAATGAGTTGAAGGCCAGGCTGAACTACATGGGAAGACTTTGTCTCAAGAAAACAAAACAAAACCAGATCAAATCAAAATAACAACAAAACCTATATAACATCTTCCTCTATAAAATCAAATGCAAATAATTTTTTTCTAAGAATCTGATTACTTTTTGGCTCAAGTTGGTTCACAACCCAGTGCTTGCTGACCACTCTTGGAATTGTTTAGGACAAATTAATTTCCTTGCAGAAAGGAATAAATAAAAAATGATACATTTCCAGGAAATACTCTCCTGTACAAGAAAAAAAAGCAAAACAAAAAAACTGAGGATAAAGTAGTCAAGTTTAAAAGATCTCAGGTTATGCCTCCTTTTAAAATCAGATTTTAAAACTAGTGACTTTGCCACCGATTCCAGGTGGAGAGACCAGAGAGTACTTTATGGGTACTAGACTTGTGGAATACTTCTTTGGGAGTTCCTATTCCAGTGAGACTCTTATTAGTCAAGGTGCTTTTACTCTCAAACTATAGAAAGCCAGCCTGATGTAGCATAGATAAAGGGAATTTTTAAAGCCTATATACTTGATCTTAGCCAAAAGGCTGAAAAGCAATTGTTTTGTTGTTGTTGTTGTTGTTGTTTAGCCTATATAACTAAAACCATTTAGCTTCAGGTAAGGCTTGACCCAGAAGCTCAAAAATGCCCCCCAAATGGCCTTTTATCTTCCTATTTTTTAACTATACTTCCTCAATGTTGGCTACATTCTACAACTGTTCTCCCGTGGGGGTCCCTGGTGACTGCTGGCCCTTTTTGGGACCATAATTTCCCAGTTCAAATACAGAAGGAGAAAGCTAATCTGATTTTTGATACCCCAAGCAAAAGTTCTAGAGTCAAGTCTCAATGGTGCCAATCATTCTGATTCAAACTGTGTATCTACTGTAGAACAAATCACTGCTGCTAGTGAAGGAGCAGGGGAGGATGTGTGTCAATGTGCTGATTGGTGAGTCATTAGCAGCACACAACTACAAAGCTGGCTGGGCCGATGATTAACGGGAAGGGGAAGCTAGGAACTGTGTACTGGGAAGAAGCAGATAAATGTCTGCAGTAGCCACTGAGCAGCAGAAGCTCAGCACAGGAAAAGAAGCATTCCTAATGCTATTTCTACGTGGTGCACCTGTGTGAATAGCATCATTCACCTTTGAGCTTCTGTCTTTCCCCACAGATCTGGCAGTTCAGCAGCCTGTTCTCCAAAATCAAGACCTGGGAGTTTGATGAAGTTACTTCCATGTCTGAGCACTTGAAGGCCTGTCCTTTCAACATTGTAGAGCACAAGTCTGACCCGATTCGTTTGACCAGCATGTGCCAACCCCATGAGCAGGCCCAGGAGAGCTTAGTTTCTACCTTTCGAGGCAGACTACGAGGAAGACACACCTAAAGATCCAGATGCTCCCATGTTTGGATTTCTCCTTGGAGTTGTTAAAAGCAAGACAGCATGTGGCTTGCAGACTCGGCTCTGTAGCTGTGTGCTTGGGTTTCTGGGTGTGTTAAAACATGCAATGTCCTTCAAACCTCACTCTTGGCATAAGAATTTCCTGAGCTATGGCTTGTATTAGAGTGCCATGCTGATGTCTGTTTTCTTTTCTTAGATAGCTCAGTCTGAGGAGAAAGTAAGTAACTTGAGGCCATTTGGATAGTGGACCCAAATCCTGAGGAGATGAGAGAACAGTAAAATTCCAGAACCATCACAAGCCTGTGGTTTTACCTACCTTTTTAATTTACAAAGAACTTGGATACTCATGCAGCAGATAATGCTGGACAGTGCCTGAGAGGCAGAGAGTTGTCTTCCTTCCTGAAGGTTCTGGATCTAGGTCTGTCTTCCAGAAAAGTCCAGTGCTTCTTTCAGTCCCCTTACTGCCTCCAAGTCCAGGTGGGTACAGCTCACCTAACTGAGCAGAGTTACCATGAGGGCATCATAGGCCAAAGGACGAGGGCGTAATGAGGTCACTGAATTTATTCTGTAGAATCTTGACAACATATAGAAAGAAAGCCTTGAAAAATTAAGGAGAGCCCAGAGGAGACACTGCATTTATAGAGAAAACTGGGATAAAAACACAAGTCTACTTCTGAATATTTTAATAATAACTTAGAAGTTGAGGATGTTCTTTATTAAAAAGAACATTCTAGGTCTGTCTTAGGGATGGCATAGGCATAGCCCAGTGTTGCTCCATGTCATCAGAAATGATATCAACTCGTAACATCAAACTCACACCAGATTGCACAGGGTGTCCAAAGACACCATACCTATGGCAAAGTCCAGACAAAGTCCATTAAAGTCCTTGTGGCATCAGCCACCAGGTCCTAGACACCCCTTGGGTACTATGTATGGGGTTTTGGAGAGGAAGATGAGAATATAATGGTTTCCTAAAATTACTCCTACCACATGCCTCACCTCCAGCCTTGTCAAAAATGGATGACACTGCTATTTTTGGTAACAAACTGAATATATGTGAGAACAGAAATTTTAAAACTTATAGTAAAAACTGGTATCTCCTACAGCAGGGTTTCCCAGGCTTGGAACTAGTGACATTTTAAACTGGATAACTCTTTGCCATAATGGACTGTCCCATGTATTATAGAATATTTAGTAGCATCCTTGGCCTTTATCCATCAGATGCCAGTAGCACCTCCATAATGAACAGCCAAAAAGGTCTCCAGACATTGTACAGTGTCCTCGGGGAGCAAAATGGCTCCTGGCTGAGAACCACTGTCCTAAGGATGTTGTACACATGACAATGAGTTAGGATACACTTTTTTTTTGGTACAGTAAAATATAGCCTCACATAGTTAACAAAAATGTCTATGGTATAATGTATCTCTTATTTATGCAGTAATATTAAGTTGGGAACCAGATGGGGCTGATTTGCTTGGTGCCTTCATGTCCTTGAGCTGCATGCAAGAATATAACCTTTCTGCTCTCTCCCAGGTATTATAATTGAAGCGAGGTGAGCCGGGGGTTTAGCTCAGTGGTTCTGCCACCTGCTTCCCAAGTACAAGGAGTGGAGTTCGATCCCTGATACCGACAACAACAATAACAACAAAAATTGAAGCTAGGAAGTTTAAATTGTCTTGTGTTTAAATCCCTCTTCCCTTAATTGGTGCCATTTTCCCAGCAGTTCTAGCAGTTCTCAGACAAGTAAGAAAGAGGGAAAATGGGACAGGCATTGTAAGGAAGCAGAGAGAAAAGAATTTAGCCAATGAAAGAAAGTGTTCCATCAATTTGGATGCTGCTGTTACTTGGGTCTTGCTGTGACCATGGGCCAGAGCTGGCATCCATGAAGTAGACTGCATTTCTGAGAGTCACGATGGGAGTAGAGCAAGTCCCAGACTGGAAATGTACTCACTTTTTTTTTCATTATATTGTGCCATTTGGTAGATTTGGTAATGTTATTATGTATTTCTTAATATTATTGTTTGATTTATATTTTCATTTGTATAGAAGTCATCATTTTCGACAACTGTAGAGTGTGATCTGAGGTTCTTTTAGTCAGTGTAGATGAGTGACTAGAAACTGCTAGACACTGAAGTAGGAAAGAAGGAAGAGAGTTCTCCACCCATCAGTTCCATGTGTTTTTGTTGTTGCTGTTGCTGGTTTTTTTTTGTGTGTGTGGTTTTTTGTTTTTGTTTTTGGTACCAGGTATCAGACTCAGGACCTTGTGCTTTTGAGGCACGTAGTGGCACCACTGAGCTAAATCCCAGCCCCAATTCCATGTGTTTTAAACCTGTCCCTTCCTGCACAAAGAAATAAGAAGCCAAAACTCCAATACCCTCCACACACATATATATAGAAGAGAGAAAGGGGAACTACAGACAGATGAAGATGAATGTCAAGGGCTATGGTTGCATGGTTGAGGAGCAGGATACTAGAGAGACAGGAGTGTGTGTGTGTGTGTGTGTGTGTGTGTGTGTGCACGTGTGTGAAGGAACACAGGAGGGCAGAGGGCTTTCCTTGTACAATCTGGTTGGGTGGGGCAGCCCAGGTCCAGGAGAGCAATCAGGATAGGATGCTGCCCACACCTGCTCCATGTGTCACACTTCCAGCCATGCTTTCCTGTCCTAATTGCTGCCTTCAGAGCAAGACCACAATGTTTAACATCACCAGACACATTTTATAAGATTTTTAATTGTCTTTGCTGCTGGAAACCAGAGTGCTGCAGGTGCCCCCAGCCCCTAGGAGGAAGTGCATTTCACGAGACATGTGCAGGGGGAGCAAAAGGAGATCCTTTTAAAGAGCCTGTGTTAGAGGGTTTGCTTCACACGATGAAGTTTTAAGTGAGCAGCAAATGTCATTGGACAGAGGCAAGACAGCTAGATGAGACATTAGACAAAGACGTCCTCAAGCAGCTGGCCATTGTGGTGCACACTTGTAATCCCAGCATTCTGGAGGCTAAGCTAGGAGGACTGCAAATTTCAGGCCAGCCTGAGCAACTTAGTGAGATCCCATCTTAAAGTAAAAATTTACAAAAGGGCTGAGGGTGTAGCTCAGGGGCTTGCCTAGCATGTGCAAGGCACAGGGTTTGATCCCTAGTATAATTTAAATACAAAGAAAGAAAAAGCACTGAAGGAGATGAAGAGAACTGTGCTGCTGAAGTGGAGGCTGGATAGGGGAGAAATGTACGAGCAGGGCCAGTGATGAGTGTCACCATTGAGAAAGGCAGCCAGGAAAAAGAGAAAGAAAAAGGAAGAAAGGAAAGGAAAAGAAGGAAGGAA